CTCCTTGGCTGTTAGAAACGAGGAGGAGTTTGGATTTCAGAGATTTTACATCAGGGGGTATTTTTAAGAAAAGGTGGGATCCTCTTTGGCCACACACTGATTAAAGAGCAAGATGAAAATTCAGGTCTCTGCTGCTAGAAAAGGGCAACGTGTCTCAGGACGACAGGACAAAAATATTAAAGTCACAGGTTAAAAAAGACTTTTTTCTTGCCAACACTTGTCACACAAGGGCAGACACCGGAGAAGAGCAGTCTGGCATCTGGAAACACCCATTTCCTCCCCCTGTGCCTGGAATGACCAGTTCAAGAAAAGATGGTTTAAGTTAAATGAATTTAATCTGCCTCAAACATTCTTGTGCACACATGGGAGAAGGTTGGGACCACTCTCCAAGCTTCTCCCTAGAAGAAAGGACAACCCAAATTACGTCCTCAGGCACATATTTAAACAAGACCAAAGGGTAATCTTGTCAGCAGTAAAAGGGAATTATATTTATTCCAGAACCTATTGGGCAGTCATTTATTTTAGCTCTTCCAAACATTTTAGTAGCTCCAGTATTTCATATATTTTATTTTTTTTTTATATGTATACTTCCAATATTTTCCAAGAGCAAGTGTAACCTCATTTTACCGGATAACCTGAATACCTTTTCCCTGCCATGTAAAATCATTTCATGTGAAACATTGGGTTTTTTAGTGTTCCCATTATTTCTCTGAAATCTGGCACGGTAAAGGATGGGATGAGGGAGTACTCAACCTCTTTTCACTCCCTTAAATATGCTTTGTTTTTCTTTTCCTATGATGGATCTAGTAGGAGGATGCACCCAGCACCAGGGAGGTCTCCCACAGCCTCAGCTCCACCGGCTCCCAACGCCTCCTGTGCCTGGCTTCAGCTTTGCTAACGTTGAATTAATTGCTTTTTTTCACTCGGTTCTTAATATAACTGTTAAATTTCTTGCCCAGCAAGAACTGCAGAGTCTGCAAAAATTAAGTGTCTCTGGTAAAGTGGTTCTTGACCAAAGCCCAGTAACCTGGAGGAGAGACGGGCAAAGCATCCTCCCACGAGGCAGAGGAGGGCTCACGGCCAGCGCTGCACCCCAGACCTGCCCCGCTGGACTCGGGGGTTCCCAGGAGGCTCCCGGGCTCTGACACACGCGGGCAGCACCCACTCTGCTGCGTAAAGGTACGTCTCTGTGTTCCTGGCAAGGCAGATTCACAGTTTGTGCACTTCTCTGCACGCATGGTCGCTGGTGCAAATCTGCAACCGGGGCAAAACGTGCCTGAGGAAGGCAGCTCCTGGCTCCTCATTTTCCAGCATTTCCAGAAACCTGGAGACAAATCCGCCTCTCCCTTGCTGTGCCCCTCCCGCTGCCACCAGCCTGGCCGGGGAATACCTTCCAGATCGATATTATTGCAGTTCGCAGCCCTTTAATTTGGGATGAGCTCTGGCCTCCTGCCCAACAGAGCTCTCTGAACACGTTCCTGGCCCTCGACACTCTCAGCAGCGATGCCTGGAATTTATTCCATGGAGGCTGTGTCTGTCCGTGACCTTGCAGGTGTCCTCTGGATGGGCGAGCTCAGCCTGGGGGTCTGCGGGGCTCCCACGGCCCCGGCAGGCAGCGAGGGGACAGAGGACACGAGCGGGCAGGTCCATCCCACCTTGAGCCCCCCACCAAGCCTGGCCGGGAGAGTCCTTGGT